CTTTTCTCTGCCTGTGTAATTTTGTGTTGATCCTGTATTTTGTTTTTCTGGTTTCTCTGAGTCCTTAATCTCCTTTGCTTAATATACATTTTCAATTACCATAACAAGATTTAAAGTTCCTATTTTCATTTCACTGCTCATTTTTGTTGTACTTGTTCATTGACTACTGTTTTTGTTTGCAGAACCCCTCTTCCGGTAACTGAATGAGATTCAACGGCTTAAACTGAGTTATCAGGGACTTAAGATGAAATCAAATTATCAAATATGTGTTGACACGGAGTCAAATATCTAACCGCAGTAAGTTCTTGTAGTTTCTAATAAAAATTGCATCTTGTAAATTACCAAAAGAAGATTTAAAGTTTCAATTTTTTTTTTTTAAAATTTTAAAACTTTGATCTTCTATCTTTTTACTTGTTCATCCAATTATTGTTTCATGTTTGCAGTACCGATTTACATCAACTGCCTTTTTTGGATGGCATTAAGCACCCAAAGAGCCTCGGCATCTTGTGTTTTGAATGAATCAGCTCCTCGATGGAAGTATGATGTGTTTTTGAGTTTCAGGGGTGTAGACACCCGCAAGGGTTTTGTATCCCATTTATACCATGAGTTGTGCAATCGCCAAGGAATTACGACTTTCATGGACGATCGAGAGCTTGAAGGAGGTACAAGTATTCCTTCTGAGCTCCCAAGTGCGATCTACAAATCGCAAATTGCAATCGTTGTTCTCTCACCAAACTATGCTTCTTCCAAATGGTGCTTGAAGGAACTTACAACCATCCTTAAGTGCATGGAAGCCAGGAACTCTATTCTGCCGGTCTTTTATGAGACAGATCCATCTGACGTTGGAAATCAACGGGGATGTTTTGCCGAAGCCTTTACGAAGCATGAACAAAATTCGAGCAGTACCGAAGATAAAGAGAAGGTGGTCCAATGGAAAGCTGATCTAAAAAAAGTGTCCAAAATTTGTGGTTGGCACTCGAAGGAATCTAAGTAAGTATGCATGAACAACTTTAATTTCCCATGTCTTAGTAGAGTCAAAATTGGATGCTTCATTTATGTTTTTTTGATTGGTTATTTCATACCATGTAGGAGTGAAAGTGAGATTATACAACAACTCGTCAAAAGTGTGTGGAAGAAACTGCAAGCCACATTCCCATTGTTAGATTCCCCACAGGAGTTGGTTGGGGTTAATTTTGGGCTTGAGCAACTAAGTTCGTTGTTAGCTCATGATGTCAATGATGTTCGCTTTATAGGGATAACGGGGATGGGTGGCATTGGTAAGACAACCCTTGCTAAGCTTGTTTATGATAGAATCTTCCATCATTTTGAAGTTCACTGCTTTCTCGGCAACGTTAGAGAGGTTTCTAACGTTGATCTTCAAAAAAGACTTCTTTTCCCGGTGTTGAGGGAAAAGATCGAAGAAATTTGGGATGAAGAGCACGGAATCATTTTCATTAAGAAGTGCTTACACAACAAAAAGGTTCTTCTTGTACTTGATGATGTGGATCGCATAAACCAACTACAAGTACTAGCTGGAAAGGAAGATTGGTTTGGCATGGGAAGCAGAATTATCATTACAACTAGAAATGAACGTCTGCGAGTCGAGCATGGCATAACATTTTGTCATAATGTTGAGGTGTTAAATGATGATGAGGCTCTTGCACTGTTTAGCCTGCATGCCTTTAAGAAAAATATGCCCGAGGATGGGTTTTTGGAACTGTCTGAGTGTTTCATTAAATATGCTGGAGGCCTTCCATTAGCTCTTAAAACTTTTGGGTCGGCATTGTTTAAGAGAGGGCTAGATTTTTGGAATAGTACACGGGATAATCTATCAAAAATTCCTAATACAGAAATTATTCATAAACTTAAAATAAGTTATGATGGACTAGAAGAGATGGAGAAGAGCATTTTTCTTGAGGTTGCATGTCTCCACAAAGGGAAGTACAGAATGGAAGTAATTGAAATACTAGATATTTCTTTTGGAATTTCTAGTAGTACTATGATAGATGTACTAATTGAGAGATCTCTCCTCTATCAATATAGCAACAATATATGGATGCATGACTTGATACAAGATATGGCACGTGAAATTGTTCGTCAAGAGTCTAAAGAGCCTGGTAAGCGCAGTAGGTTGTGGCTTTACGATGACATCGATCAGATATTTAGGAAGAATAAGGTAAGAAGTTAAATACCAAGTTTGGAAGAAGATATTGATTTCTTTTGACATTATATTAGACTTGAAAGTGAAATTAATTTGTCCTTTTTTTCTTAATTGTTAGGGAACGGCAGCAATTGAAGCCATATCCTTACGCTTGTCCAACGTAGAAGAGGTGCCCCAGTGGAATTGCGAAGCCTTCTCTAAGATGGAGAGCCTGAGGTTTTTGGAATTCAATAATTTGATCTTTTCTTCAGGCCCCAAATCTCTTCCAGGTTCCTTGAGAATTATAAATTGGAGTTGGTATCCTTCTAATTTTCTTCCAACAAGCTTTCGCCCGCACTTGCTTGGTAAACTTGAGATGCGTAATAGCAATCTTGTTCGTTTTTTGGGGGGAAAAGTGGTAAGAGTAGTTATGAACAAAAGATAATATTGGTTACTCACTAGTCAATACTCACATTTTGAGTTTGTCCAATGATATTTTAACACATTATTTTAAAAAATAATAGACATGTTATTTAATTTTTCTTGAGTTTTAAAAACAAGAAACCCGTAACATTTTTTTATTGTACAATCCCAAAGGTTCCAAATTTCTTCCATATTCATTGAGAATAAATGCTATTTAATTTACAAAATAATCATATATTTATTTATTTATTATTTTGAATAAACTTTAAGGTTGTGGAAGCTAAGTATATGATCTGAACCTTATCGGTGGTGTTGTACAGGACTTGCCCAACTTGAAACATATCGATCTTAGCAACTCCAATAAATTGAAGAGTACCCCAGATTTCAGTGGTCTTCCGAATCTTGAGAAGTTGCTGCTTTCCGCTTGTAAGAATTTAGTTGAGATACATCCGTCTATTGCAGTCCTCAAAAGACTCAAAAATTTGAAACTTAATGACTGTGAAAGCATTAAGAGCCTCCCAAGTAAGGTTGAAATGGATTCTCTTGTATATTTCGATCTTAGTGGCTGCTCAAATGTGAAAACGATTCCAGAATTTGGGGAGCAGATGAAGAATTTAGTCTGGCTCAAGTTAGACAAAACTGCGATCGAGAAAATACCTTCATCAATTGGACATGCGGTTGGCCTTTTCCATTTTAGTCTACGGAAATGCAAAAATCTCTTGTACCTTCCAAGGGCTATTTGTAATTTGAAGTCTCTTTACCATCTCGATGTGATTGGATGCTCAAAGATTGACAAACTCCCAGGAGACATGGATCACTTACGGTGGCTTAAAGTGGGACGCACTATGACAAAGCCGTTTGTGGGTATGAAAAATCTCAAAGGTCTAGAATGTAAGAGAAATTATGACATGGTTTTTCGATGAGTAATGTTAAAGCCACTTGTGGATTAGATGGTACAGCAAGGGATAGGTGGGGCCTTCGCCGCTTATTTGGACTTGAAAAGAGTCCCCCTGATCCTCCTCTTTGTTGGCATTTGGTGTTGTCTTCTCTAAATCGTTTATGCTCTTTGACATGCTTAGATCTATATGATTGTAATCTCCAGGAGGGGGATATCCCCGATGATATTGGCTCCTTGACCTTATTGGAAACATTGCGTCTCGACAGAAATAATTTCGTCAGTCTACCTGAAAGCATTAGACACCTTTCTAAGCTTAGGTATCTTCTTCTGGAGGGGTGTAAAAGCCTTCAAAAATTGCCACCTCTTCCATCAAACAGAGGATTAAAGGTAGATCTGGAGAATTGCACTTCCTTACGAAGTTTGTCAGGTGCATTCAATTTGTATGATGCTAGTGTCACTTGCTGGAATTGCATTGCATTGGTTCCAGATGAAGACTTGATTAATAGGTTTCTGAAATCTGTCATTCAGGTACTCTCTCTCTCTCTCTCTCTCTCTCTCTCTCTAAATAATTGATCTTTCTTCTGCTACAGGGATCGAAAATTGTAATCCCTGGAAGTGAAATTCCAAAGTGGTTCAATAATCAGAGTGTGGGACATTCAATAAATGTGGAGCTTCCTCCACCATCATGTACCAACTGGCTTGGGATTGCCTTCTGTGTTGGGTGGGACATTCAATACCAAGACCCTTTACAAAATGTGGAGCTTCCTCATTATTGTCGTTTCAGAATTCACTGTTCAGTGGAACTTGTTAGCCCTGAAAGACTTGGCCCAGAATACCCTTGGACTACCTTATTATTACCGTCTCTTGTGTCAAAAAACCTTTGGTTATTTTATTTTCCTCGTCAATATTGTTTGCCTCGTGAAGATTGTCATCAGGTACAGTTTTTATTCGGAATTGACTTTCGTGATATTGATTGGAGAGAACAAAAAGCAAACTTGAATATGGTGAAGAAGTGTGGAGTTCGTTTGGTGTACGAGCAAGATTTGAAAGAACTCAACCAAAAACTACTGAAACGAACATGCGAATATCGTGACGAGGCAGCTCCAAATGGACACGGAAGTGCTAGCTTCAACGACACAGAACAAATTTGCAAAAGGCGTTGTAACTAGTCGCCATGTCACAAAAAATGCAAGTAAGTAACCATCGATTCATCACATCAGCATGATTGTCATCAAAATTATTTTTTGTTTCGACATCTTAGTCAATGTAATCGATATCTCGGGCTATATATTAAGATGGCTTTATTTACTGAAAGGGCAGAGTGGATAAGAATGTTGATGTATAAACACTTTTGCAGATTACTTGGGCATTAAGAAGATTGATTAACAATCTGATCATCTTGCCTAATGCAGCAAGTGGGTACCTTGGAAACTCGCAACGCCATGGGGGCTGCTCTGTCAGTCTAGTTCTTAAGGTTCATTTTCTGAAGACGCCATTAGCGTTAACATGTAAACCAGGAGTTGATTTGTTTTTGTCTGATTTTGTAACTAATACAAACTTGTAGTCCAGAAACAGAAACGTTGCTAAGGAAACAACACTTTTTGCTCAACAACTTTGGTTTGATTAAAACTTGGCTTTGGTGATGCAAAAACTAAGCATTGAAAGTATTGTGCCTGACATCATTGGTAGGTTTTCAGCTGAATTTGCATACCCTTTCAAAACCCTATTTACTGGGTAGTTTTGAAGTTTAAACTTCATACTAATTTTTATTTTTATTTTTTGTCAAAAGCAAATCATACTAATTAACTCAGCTAAGAAATATTCAAATAATCCCAGACCTAACAGACTTGTGTTGAGATAAGGATGAATCACACAGATAACAAACCTGAGAGTATGATTGGAAACTAGAAGTCTGCTTTGGTCTAACATCCCCCGGCAAGCTGACAGATCGTAGCACAACTGGAAGCTTGGACACCAGCAGTTTAAATCAAAATGAAGATAACCCTTCGTGAACAAATCAGCAATTTGATCTTGTGAACAAATAAAATTCACGAGTAGCTCACCTCTAATCACCTTCTCCCTGACATAATGATAATCAACTTCTAAGTGCTTGGTTCTCGAGTGGAAAACTGGATTGGATGCTAAGGCAATGGAAGACAAATTATCATACCAAATCTGTTATCTTAGAAGATTCTAATGTATGTCCCTAAACAACGAACATAACCAAGGCAACTCAGCGGCAGTGTATGCAAGCTGCCTACATTCAGCTTCAGTGCTAGACGTGGAAACTGTATTAAGTTTTTACCCAACTATACACAGAAGCCTCCAGTTGAATGGCGTGTGTCTAGGTTCTCTACATAATCTGAATCAGAGAAAGCAGTCAATTGTACACCTCCAGGTCTATAAACAAGATCCTGATCATAGGTAGCCTTCAAATAACGTAGGATCCTCTTAACTGCCATCCAATGAGTGTTGTTGGGCGAAAGCAAGGACTGACGCACTTGGTTCACAACTTAAGAAAGATCAGGTCTCGTAATGGTCAAATAATGTAGGGCACCTCCAACACTTTGGTCTAATTCAATCCCAAAAGCACTCAGTTTTTGTCCAGAAGAAACTGGAGTCGAGATTGGCTTGGCATTGGTAAATTTAATGCATTTGATCACCAGAGCAAGTTACTTCAACACCTTGGAAGTAGTTGAGAGGACCCAAGTCCTTCATGGAAAATAAAATGCCCAGTCTCTTTATCAACCGAGCCATTTGATAAGTGTTGTTTCCTGTGAGCAATATATCATCCACATAGATTAGTAAGGTGAGATATACTCCTCTTTGATTGAACACAAACAAAGAATAATCACACTTGGATTTTATATACTCCTCTTTGATTAAACACAAACAAAGAATAATCACACTTGGATTCTTGAAATCCCAATTGAAGCAAGAAATCATAGAATATCTGAAACCAAGCTCTCGGCGCTTGTTTTAACCCATGTACACTGTGCTGAAACTTGTAAACATGGTGCAGGTAGGGGTGGGTTCGGTTCCGTTCGGTTCGGTTTTTTGCGAAAACCGGAAACCGAACCGAAATTACTGTTCGGTTCGGTTCGGTTTTCTATCGGTTTGTGTTCGGTTCGGTTTGTATTCGGTTCGGTTTCGGCCCGGTTCGGGTTTTTTTTTTTTTTTTTTTTTTTTTTCAAACCCAGAAAATAAAAATGGCAAAACACAAAGAGAATTTGAGGGAGGCATGAGGGTTCGAACCCATGCCTCCATGGCTTGTAAAGTTTCATTGATTGTATGACTAAACTATTTATAAATATTCAAAAAATTATATATATATATCGGTTCGGTTTCCGAGCCTCAAAAACCGAAACCAAACTGGTCAGATTCGGTTCGGTTTGGTTTGACAATTTCGGTTCGGTTTTTTTGCGGTTCGGTTTTTTTCGGCCTCGGTCCGGTTCGGTTGTCGGTTTTTTTCGGTTTTTGGTTTTTTGAACCCACCCCTAGGTGCAGGTACTGCTTGTCAATGAAACCCGTTGTTTGTTTCAGATAAACTTCCTCAATGAGATAACCACGCAAGAAAGCGTTTTAGATGTCCAACAGCCTTACATGCCCCTTCTTTGACACTGCCAAACCAAGCACAAGCCGAATGGGACTGTCTTTACAACAGGACTAAAAGTCTTGTTGCAGCGAATCCCTGGTTTTTTATGAAAACCATTGGCCACAACCTCGCCTTATGTCTCTCGATCGAACCATATGCACGTCGTTTTATCTTGCATACCCACTAGTTTGGAAGAAGATTCATGGTGGGATGATAAGGAACAAGGCTCTAGGTACCATAGCGCTGCAAAGCACTAAATTCTTGAGCGGCAGTTTTCTCAAGAAAGAAGATTCATGTTAAGTTACTAAACTTCAAATTCAGTGATAAATACCGCATCTGAGACTCGTTATCTTCAAACAATTGCCTGCCGGAACCAGCGCGAAGACCAAATTCGAAACCTATCAACATTTAACTTACAATTAGCTAAATTCTTAATGCTTAAAGATTTAGTTTCCTTTTTCTAGTAGCGCTAATCCACCTAGACTGTAAAAAATTAAGAAAGTAATAGGCATGATAATCTATCTGATCATAATTAACTACCGTTTGGTTCCTGAGAAATCAAAGGAAAAATTTTCAACTTGTTCTTGTAATCTCAGTTTTTCAACTTCCAAAAACAACCAAGAAACTAAATGAACACAGATGCAAATACACACACATATACATAAAATGCATACAAACATATATGTATATGTGTGTGTGTATATATACTACAGATGAGATGGGGACCTGGAGAGTAGGAACGTTGAAGGCCCTGTGTTCGGAGACTAGAAACTGGAAGGCTAATTGTTACTTTCTGGGGATTTTAGTGTTTGGTTAAAGCTAATTTGTTGTTTTTAATATGTTTCAGTGTTAGAGAAAGCTGATTGAGGGACCATGGCAACAATAAGAATAGAGTGCCCTGTTTTGGAGCCAAGCTCTGGTAATTCTTATCATCTTTACTTGCTACTACTCCATAATTAGTCTGGTAGTATTATCATGAAATCCAATTTTATTTATTGTGTTTTGGTGATCTAATTCCATTTTTATGTTAATGTAATCTCTCATAAAGCTAACTCCAAATCTTAGTCTCTCTTTTGGTTTTGGTGCTCTCATTCTCTCAAGCTCTGTTAGTTGAGTTGTGAAATAAGTTTGGGGTTGGGGGCTTTTACATAAACTGCAGTCTTAATAAATTTTGTTGTTACGGATCACAGAGAAGTTGATAGCAGATGAGTTCTTAGTTGAAGTTGCAGAAGGGTTGCAGTGAATTTGTTGAGATTTTTGTATGGTTAATAATGACTGCAAACCTGTTGAAAATCTACATTTCCCAGATATTTATTTGATCATATCATTGCTGTCATCAACTCTAAATACCTTAATAGTAGAACCTGAGTTAACATTATTCTTATGAAATTTGTGTTTGATTTTTGGGTGTAGCTGATGATCAGATTCAAATGATTGAGATGATTAAGCTCTTGGAAACAAAGGATTCAAACAATTTTCAAAATTTAGGTCCAACTGTTTGTACAAAATTGTATAAAATATTAGTTATGCAAATTTGTAGTACATTCTTATCAATGATATTACAATTTGTTTCCTCACCCAAAAAAATAAAAAATGATATTACAATTTGAATCCTAGAACACCATTAAGTAGCATCAGCCGTATGAATCCTACAACGACAACCAAGTCTTTACACATCACAATCAAAGTGTAAAAAATTCACACATGACTAAGCAAGTAGAGGAAAACTTCCAGAAGTGTCTAAAAATAGTTTTCTTCTTTATTTGCAAAGCAGATATGTCGAAACAGGAACAAATAAATGAAAATAAGAGCAATGAGGGAAAACATTCAACAACGGACAAGACAAAAATATAAGAATGAAGTAACTTAAAATTGCCATAAATTACAAAGAAAAGTAGGGTATAACACTAAAGAGTTACAGGACAATAATTAGACATACACCTACAATAAAAGGAAAGAAAAATACCAGAGGATCTTTCAAATAGTTGTCACATATCCAATTTGCAAGTAGAATTAGAAGCTCACGGCCTACAGGTTCATCTCCATGCACATTTCCAATGTACTGCGGCACCCAGCATATTTATCAAAAATGCTCAAACTATCACTTGAAATTGTATGAACGAGTAACAATCGATTTACATTCTGGGGAATGGAAAAGGAACAAAAGAAAGTTTTCAAGAAGCACACAGAATACAAAAATACTACACTGTCAGTGTATGCAAACACTCAATAAATTGAAATCCGGGTAGTATCAAAACTTTTTCTACAAAAAGTGAAATCCATGACTTCAGTTTTCGACAGTAAACGCGAAATATGGCAGGTGGAAAATGAAAGACTAACAATAAAACAAAATATTAATAATATATTACTAGTTGCAGTGGAATTCAGAAACAATGAACTTTTTAAGGAAGATGAAGAGGGAAATGAAAATATCCAATTGCACGTGATTTTTTGGCGTGTGCTTATAAATTATAATCTTTGTCATATAACAGCTTCTCAGTTCAATTATTTCCTGTGGTCATAAGTGGCTCGTAGCAGTTTCCTTTATTTCTTTCCATGCAAGATCAGAGAAAAAGTAACAAAAAAATTGTGACTAAAACTGCCCTCAAAACACGTACAATTGATAGAGTCTGTCCTTTCTCAGGGACAAGTAACATAATTGAACTAGGTGAATGAATAAAACTTTTCTAAAGAGTGCAGATGGATATTCTCCAATACCAGAATCAACTCAATTCGGTGGTAAACAGGTATTGCACCCTTCTGGATTCAAAGGTGCAATAAGCTAGAAGCTATATCGCACTTTTTTAACTTCCACTAATAAGCAATCAATCTAATTAAGTTTCTGACCCTTATTCAGCGTTATTGTTGCAAAAAGATTTCAGGTACTGGTGTCACAGCTCTATGGTAAGTTTCAGTTTCAAGCAGCTGCAAAGGACTAATTTGTGCAAATCTTGAAGGAATCAAAGCAGGTTCCTGTTCTTTTGAATCATAACTTTTTCTGGGTTATGGAACAAATATAATTTCTACATTATTATTATTTACAGAAGGGAAGGGGGGACGCTAATGCATTTTCCTTCAAAAATCCTGCCATGTTCCAAAAAATTGATTGTATATAGGAAGGATTAAAATGCCAGGATTCAAAAGTTTTTACCAAATGGCAGCTTGGATATAATTTGGATAAATTAATATTAAAAAGTCAAATTGTTGTGTTTTTGCTTTTGTATGTAACAGAACATTCACCTTAAATGCAGCTTCAGGCTCTTCCACCCCGGGCTTAGCAGAAATTGCTACTACCCACTACAAGCAATAATACATCAAACATTACCAACTTCACAAGATGTTAACTTCAGTGAAATGATTACCAGCAGAACCCTATTCACACTCTTCCCAAAACTGATAATCCATTTGAAAAATCCCTGAACAGGAGAATAAAAAGAATAAATCAGCATAATCATCATGATATGCCTAAACAAAAATCCTACAATTAAAATCTTGTATTTATCCAGCTAAAACTACTACTAACAAATACGATTGTTTTGTTTCTACTAACAAGTGGTAAAATTATAATCTGGCAAATGTTAAAAATGCACAAACCCAAGTAATCACCTGTAAGCCGTAGAAATGTTACTGCATCTTTGGCCGAACGCCTTAATGGCCTGTCCCAGGTCAGAGTTAGTCATGTACCCTTGAGCTACATCAACACTGTGTCACCAATTTTTGTCACATTTTCAGTAAACACATAATTATATCAAATTAGATTATATAATTCTGTTAAGCTACTAAGCTTCAACTTTAGTGATAAATACCGCGTCTGAGACTCATTATCTTCAAACAATTGCCTGCCGGAACCAGCGCGAGGACCAAATTCGAAGCCTATCAACATTTAATTTACAATTAGCTAAATGCTTAATTCTTAAAGATTTAGTTTCCTTTTCTAGTAGCGCTAATCCACCTAAAATGTAAAGAATTTAAGAGCAATAGGCATGATAATCCATCTGATCATAATTAACTACCGTTTGGTACCTGAAATATCAAAGGAAAATTTTTCAATTTACTTCATGTTCTTGTAATCTCAGTTTTTCAACTCCCAAAGAACTAAATGCATACACATGAATATAGAATGCATACAAATATGTATGTATGTGTGTGTGTGTGTGTGTGTGTGTGTGTGTGTGTGTGACAGATGAGGAGATGGGGACCTGGAGGGTAGGAACTGTGAAGGCCGCCTCTAGCAGTGGCAGGACGAAGACAAGAGGAGAAGCCTGAGAGAGAGGAAGAGGATGGAAAGAGCAAGCTTCATGATGTGATCTTTGGGGTTGACGATGGTGGCGATGGAGCTCCGGAATCGGATTCAGGAAGCCATTGTTGGAACTCGAGGGAAAATGGGCTGCAAATTCCATTGGAAGCAAAGTAACGGGGACTTCGAGATATGGGTTACAAATGAATCTCGGCCCATTTTTCAAACAGCCCGAACCAAACTAAATTCTATAGGTTGATTTTTATTTTATTTTTTAATAAACAACAATATTTTACATTATAGGGCTTGAGTTAAGTAAAAGATAAGTATCACTAACTATATAGGTTTGGTATTGACAAATTGATTTTGGAAGTAGTTGTCTATTTCGAATGTAATTAATTAAATTTTCTCTTGTATTTACTAATCCATAAGGAATTGAAAAAATGTTAGCTTTCTTTAAAATATCAAAATATCAGGAAGCATATCGACTAGGACGGCTAGTTGAGCCGATTCCCTTCTCTTACATTTTCATACTTCTAAGTTCTCTCATTTTTTATAAGTAAACATTGAATTAAGAGATATGGATCCAATGTTGCATATCGTGCTCATAAATAAGCCTTGGTAGGAGTCCCAGCCTAATCATGAATGAAATTGTCACGCATATAGTGTCAATGTTTTAATGTTTAGGTTCATCAAAGAGTCGATTCCGCTTCCTACGTCTAAGTTGGTCAAACTAGCTCCGAAAGTACTCCAAAGGTAAAGTAAGGCTCAATGAATATTTGTGTTCGCACATCATCACATTAAACAATTTGGATGAGCGAAAAAAAATGAATGCGGATGAAGGCTAAAGAGCAACATTACATGCTCTGAAAACCATGACGCTCAAGCTTGTCTAGCTAAACCCATGCACAAGACAAAAGTGAAGAAGAAACATCTTGTTCTTTGTAATTTGATAACAAATTTTATGGTAATACAGATGATGACGAAGATGACTGATCAGAAACTGTTGCATTATTTGTAACAGCATGAAGGAGTCGAAACATCTTAAATGTGAATGCACCAAAAGTCGGTTAAACTATTTGATGAGAATTGTGAATCTTCCGAAGATAGTTCTTGGTATACTGATGATGCCCGCAATTTGATTTGCCTCATTCAGAAATTTACGAGTACGCTTCAACTTATATCCGGACTTTTATTCACAAATATGCACTTGTTATATAATTATTTAATTATTTTTGTTACTTAACAAGGGATTGAAGACTATTCGTTAACGACATTTAGTTCAAATTATATTCTAGTTTCTCGAGAATTTTTGCAATGCATCGAGAATGAGCTTCCTTGAAATTCGTAACTATTAATTCAAGTTCCCTTTCACACGTTTTTGGTTGTCAAGTTTTGTTCTTTTAGTTTGGTATTGGCCTAGTTTAGCTCTTCTTGTGGTTTATTCGTTATTCTTCCGGATTTGAATCCGCTCTGGACCTTAGTGTCTGGAGCCTCCTCCACCACACACAACCAACGGCCCTGATTTGTGGATGAGGAGGCTCCGGACACTAAGGTCCATTCTATTTTTCCAATCTTTATTTTGGCTCTATACACAACTGTTTATCTATTAATAGAGATGCTTACGTTCTCAATTTATCAAATAACTAATCATTTGTTTGGGTTTACTTTTAGCTATACTCCTTAGAACTTCATTATGATCTGACTTTGTCTCATGTAACTCAAAAGTCACCACTTTACTAAAACTCAAAATCCGTTCCTCTTTAACTTGTAGACTCTCTCTTCTCCGTAAAACTTATTGGTTGAGTTGCTGAAACATATGTGGAATCCAGCACCAAATAATACTATGCCACATGTGCATTAAATTTGATTATAAATCTCTATTATTCATTAACATTCAACAACCAGAGAATATTAAGTTTAAAAGAAATTGAAGAGATAAAAAAATAAATAAAAAAGAAAATGACCCACATAAGAAATTAACAGATCTAAGACAATGTAAAGTGAATTTTGAGTTTTGTAGAGGACTTCAAGTTTCAAGAGACAAAATGAGACCAAAATCGAGTTGCAAAGGCAAAGCGGAGCAAATTTTGAGTTTCATGGAGTTGCAACTTTTGAGTTGAGTAAAGTGAGATTAAAATCGAGTTTCATGGGATGTAGCTAAAAATAAGGCCATTTGTTTACTTTCTTGGTTTGATCATCTAATTTAAATATTATTTGATTATTTTTCCAAATTTCCCTATAAATGTTGAAAGGCAAACAAACTCGTATTTAAGTACAAGGAAGGGTACATGATCCTGCTCTTGATGATTCAATATGTCATCAAATAATTTGGATTACAATGGTTTTTCAAAGGAAACTAATGAAAATAGCTTCAAAACTTTGAGTTTTAACGAAAATGACAAAAAAATGTTGTAAGTGAATAGTATCATGATTGACTTTTTAGGTAAAAATGTGATTTTTCGTTAAAGTGAACAATACCGAGAGCTTTTCGTTAAAACTCCCTTGTTTCAAATACTACTTAGGCTTCAGATTTCATACAAAAATCGAAAACCCTCATTGCATCTGACTGGGACAAATTTGGTGAGCCCTGGAGTCAGGGCTATACACTAGATTAGAATAGGGATGGTTCAAAAAACCGTATAAATACAAAACCGAACTAAACTGAAATTGGTTAGTTTGGTTTTGGTTTTTATGGTTCAAAAACCAAACCGAACCTAAGTAACACCTAAAACGAAGTCGTTTTTTTTATTTTGTCTTTTACGGGAGGACAGTGCGTTGTTGTGTATATATACACTTGTATAAACAAATTGTTATGCTTTTATATGGATACTGAGGGTGTGGTCGGGTTTCTTGTAAAAGTTGATTATCATTAACATAATTCTCTCGATACAAATATATCAAAGGGCATATTGTGGCTCATACTTTTCATCGTACATAACATCGCTGTATTATTTATTAGCGGCTATCTGATCGAGTTTGCGTAAATTATCACATTACCAAATTGATGTCTTTAATTTATTTCTGTGTCGTGATTGATAGTAAGGAAGAGTTCCTTTGCTGAACCATATGGTCCAATTATCTTTCTGCCTATTATGGGCAGAAATGGGTAATTGATCATTTTAGCCTCAATTGTTTTGGTAGAGTTTAATTGATATTGTTGTAGCCAGTGTCTTCGGACAAACATGTTTCATGCAGTACATTATTTGGGTTTGCTGCTAAGCCTTTGCGCAGTTTGATTTTATATTCCTGATGATATTTTTCAGATTTAAAAAAAAAAAAAAAAGAATCAGGTTTTATATAAAACAAAACCAAATAGAACTGAAAAAAATAAAACCGAAAAAAAATAGAACCAAACAATAATTTTGATTTGATTTTTGGTTTTGACAAAAAACTGAACAGATTAAAACTAAACCTACTCCTAAATTATAGAATTTCTCGACCATCTCATGCACTGCAGACTGGTTCCACAAATGATGAGAAAAGTTTTATAGTGGGTGACATAATTATCTTCCCCTGTTTTCCAAAAGAAAAAAAAAAATCTTCCTCTTGAAAAAACAGAGACATGAACTCTTTTCTCAGAAGAAAGATAACACGTCCCAATAAGGAACGGAAATATGCCATAGTCGGTCTGCCACTTTTTTGGTAGAAAATAATTGTCCTTCAACTTTGGTTTTTCTCTTGAACGAGTTTGGAAAGTGGACAGCTAGTGTATGGAGATTTCCTTGTTGCTTCTTTCAGGGGGATTTACCTTGCACCAAAACGTTAGGTGTATTTGGTGGGGCTTTGGGGTATAAATTGGATCGTCTTTCTCTTCCATCTTGGCTGGAATGGATTCAGAAGGTATTCTCTCCGAATTTATGCAACTTTGGAGATACAATGTGGAGACAATCTTATATTGTTTTTACCTGTTGGTGTATTTGGAAAGCTCGTTGTGATCTTGTTTTCAAAGGGATGTCTGTTAACCCTTTAAAAGTCTTGGCTGATGTTTCTGCGGCTATGAGCTCGTTTTTTGGTGCTAAGGCTATGGCTGGGGTGAGGGGAGGGGGTGACGGGAGGAGGGGTACCCAGGTGGCGCGGTGGTGTGCTCCGGCCTCTCCTTTTGTGAAGATTAATGTGGATGCTAGTTGGTCCAAGGCCTCAAAGATGGGATTTGTTGGATTGATTGCGCGGGACATGGAGAGAAAATTCGTGGCTGCAGCGCGGTATGCTATATCTGCTCCTTCTGCTGCTGCAGCGGAGGCTTATGCGTTGTTGCACGGGTGCCAGCTCGGTGAAGTCTTGGGTGTAAGGTATGTAATTCTTGAGTCGGACTCCCTTGAAGCGATTAATTGTTTATCTAGCTCGCTGTCTAGGGGTAGTTGGGAGGCATTCCCGGTGCTGGCTCGGGTTAAACAGCTGGGGGGGAAGTTCCTTGATTGCCGATGGTCTTGGGTGCCTTGTTCTGCTAATGGCGTGGCTCACAAGATTGCATCGGGTAGTTTTACGGAGATGAGTGATGTCGTTTGGGTCGTTAGGCCTCCATCTTCGTTGGTCTTTGTATTGAATAATGACGGGCTACCTTGTCCTCATTAATTTGTTTTGGTGGTGCCGGGGGTGACGCCTCTACTTGGTGGAGGGGTTTTTGTGGTTTACCCCTTGTCACTGCGTGTTAATTGTATGTTTGTTTGCCTCTCTGTAGGCTTTTTATGATATGGTAACTGGTGTTCAAAAAAAAAAAAAAAAAAAAAAAAAAACGTTAGGTGTGACTCATATTTATCTCCATTTTTTAACATTGTGACAGGATAACACTTAATAGATTAATTACACTATTATCTTGGTACTCACGTTTCACGTAAAGAAAAAGGATTGAGCGACGTTTAACCATAACTTCTCTTTCTTTTTTTGGACCATTACCAATTGTTTTGTGGAATGTAATATTTACACATTCCATTTTACTTCACACACATTCTTTTAATTTTCAGCTGTCAAATCAAATGAATTGAAGAAGATCAACGCATAAAAGTTAATAAAAAGTATATGAAAAGTAATTTGAGATGTGTCATCTCTTGTTTTGTATACGAAATTTTTACGGTACTCGAGAATATAAAATATTTTGAATATTTTAACTATTAAATCTTTATGTAAAAATACAAATATCAAAATATAACAGACATAACACCCTACAAACCAACCTAAATTTTTTATTCTTTTACTTGATTAGGTCATCCAAACAATCATACTAACTTTTCTCTGTAAAAAGATAATTCATCATCTGACACTATGACC